TGCTAATCCATCTAATAATAGGTGGTCAGTTGTTTTCCAAGGTAGGAGTAACAATGTCAGTGACGAATTTGGGGATTCAATCGATATTATGGATACTCCTTCCTTCTTAACATGTCTGCCAACTTTTAATGAAGATGATGATGTGGACGATATACATGCCACTCGTGACGATCATTAGGAAGGAATATGGGAGAACATTCCAACATGATCATATTTTCGAAATAGGTTCTTATAATTTTTTATTTTTATTAACTTTTATTTATACTAATATTTTGGTTGTCAATTAAGTACTACATGTTAGCAATTCAATTTATACTAATGACTTATAATTTATTTTTGTGTTAATAGGTCAATATGGATGAACCTTAAGACTCTACTTCAAGCTTTACACAGTCTACATCCTCTACACAGTCTACAACCAAGAAGAAATTCAGAGGTCCCACTAGAATGAAAAATGTTGTAGACAAACGCCTCAATGGAGAGAGGATACATGTTGATATAGATAAGATCACTGGACAACCTATAGGGGATTCAACTGCCCAATTTATGAGTACAATGGGGGTTCATGCTAGAACCAAGGTTTCTATTTTGTTTCCCAATTGGGATGATGTAGAGGAGGTTGTCAAAAACCATATTTGGATAGATGTTATGGTAAATTTTATTTATACTAATTTTCATTATTAAATTTGATTAGGATATTAATATGTATTAACTCGTTGTTAATTTAAATGTAGGAAACTTGGGACATTTCCAACATAGAGAGGACGAGAAGGAAGACCCTCTCTATTGTGGCTGAGGTAGAGGCAATATAAGACCACCCTCACAAACAAGTATATTTTGGGAAAAAGAAAGGACTATTTCCTGGCGATGAAAATCCCATTATAGATCAAGAGACGTGGAACGCATTTATAGAGTCTAGAATGAGTGAGGAGTTTTTGGTAAGTTAGGATTATATGCATTACCATTTTTGTATTTGTGAATATTATTTTTTTCCCTTAATCTCATTATATGATAATTTTGTAGGAAAAAAGAAAGAAGGCACAAGAGATTCAGGCAAAGAATGAAACCTATGTTGTGACGTTTCATGGGGGTTATGAATGGCTTAAGAAGAAGATCATAAAGGAGAAGGCTATGAAGCGTTGGGCTAGCCAAGATGACACTATAGTTAGTGATCCTCCATCTCTACCTGCACCCCATGAATTATGGAAGTTCGCCTGCATAAAAAAAATGAGCGAGTTTACAACTGAAGCAGCAAACGAGATTGTTAGCAAGATAGTAAGTATAATTTTATTGTTCATATGATGCTAATTAACATATTAATTGATAAGAATTTGTTAAATTGTTTATTTGTCTTATATTATAGGATATATTAGATCAGCAAGCCAAACAGGGATCTTTTGTTTCCCATGGACGACAAGGTATACTCACTATTGCCATTAGGAAGACCGAGTACACAGGTTGAGTTTGGGCAGTAGGTAGAGGTCATACCTTGCAAACTTACTTTGGACCACAATCATCTTCACATTCATCTGGCTTGGTGGACCAGTTGGTGGAATTGAAGGTCTCTTAGGTTATAGCAACTTATGAGGATAAATTAAGCCAATTAAAAGAGGAGATGAAAAGGCAGCGACAAGAGGAGAATAAGAAGTTGAAAGAGGACATGCAAAGGCAACTACAAGAGTATATGTAGTCACTTAGCCAATAGCTTTAACAGAATACTCCACCAATTGAACCATTTGTTGCACATGTGAGTACAAAAGGTTCATGTGCAGCTACAAATCCCTCTACTTCTACCACTGACCATGGTACATCTAATCAATGTGAGTTTTTGTTGATGGATCACTCAATCTTGTCGGCATAGGGAGGATTCTCATGTTAGGGTCCATTTTGCACCATCAAACCATAGGAAATGATACGGTCAAGGTTTTAGTGTTGGATGTTAGAAACCCAAAGGCTAGAGTTCATGTGCCCACACAAGAGGTTCAAACGATGGGACAGACCCTAAATACCTTCCTTCAATGGCCTCACAGGTTGGTGAAATTGATATCTATGGAGGTAAGTTATTTAACTATTTAATTTTAACTTGGTGCTATTTTATTATAATTTAGTATAACATTATTTTTGTACTTTGTTTAATAGGATGTTGTTGTCCCACCAAAGGCTATGCTTACCCATTCTAGAATCTAACTCCGATAAAAAGGCTATGGAGATTAGTTGCATATATGGAAGATGACAATCGACCCAAATAGGTACCTTGGGTTCCTAAAGTGTTTGTGTTTAGTAGTAATGTACCCTTGTATATAAGTCAGAGCGACATATCATAGATTACAAATGGGCACTGTATGTTGAACATATCAATTTTGCAATTATGGTTAATGTAAGTATTTGAATTAATTTTAATTTTGTTTTGTTGCTTTTTTCTAACTTTATTTCTAATAACCTTGTAGATTTATCCATAAATTGAGTGTGGATAAAGGGAATGATCACATTTATGGATTTTTGGAACCCGAGTTAATCCAAAAAAGTGACAACAAGACAGAAGAAATCCAAGCTTACATCCAAAACTGGATGTCTGACTCAAATAAAAAAGTTTACTTAGCTCCTTACTTTTCTAAGTAAGTCTATTTGTATATAATTTATTATAAAATTTTTAAAAATATATTGTCTATTATTGATAGTTTCTCAATGTGGTGCTCATTGGCAGCTTTTGATTATTTGTCCTATGGATAATATATCTATATGCATTTGTTCGATGCACAAACCTCCTCCTGCGAACTTTAAACAATTATTAGATAAGTAAGTTGTTTAAAAAAAACTACTTTATTTTATTGATCATTACATTTTATTTTAAAATATAATAATAATGTCATTTTATCATCAGGGCTTTGGAAGGATACCATATACTTAAAGGTTCAAAGTTGAAGAAAAAAATGTTTTGGGTCTCTCAAAGTAAGTTATTTTATTTTAGTAATGAAATTTTTTCTAAGGTATTTTCTTTTGAATTACCATTACGACTAAAATTGTTTTTTATATTCTTTTTGTAGTCTCATAAGCAAAAAGGAAACTATGAGTGTGGATACTATGTAATGAAGGCCATGCATACTATTGTTGATTCACAAATAGTACCTGGGTGGGTTGAAGTACATTTTAGAATTTTAAAAAAATTTATTTTAAGTTTACATTTTATCATATGTTTTGTGAGTTACTTCTAATTGTTCTAAATTTTCTTAACAGATGTTTATAGATCGATCGTCATTGTCGCTAGAAGACATAAACACCATTAAGCTACATTTTTTCGTTGAAACATTGACTAGCTAGGACTTATCTTTATAGTTTTACTCATTTTGAAGTTTAGGATGCATAATAATTTGTAAGTTACTTAACTTATTATGTACACATTTATGCATTACATATATTTTAAAAACATTTTGATTTTATATATGGTTGACATTTACCAACTCTTGTCATTTGTATGTAATTTGGTCCATTGAAAACATATGAATTGTCTGGTATTTTATTAATTTTCAGGTTTTGTTCAGGGATCTTCCTAAAACAAGTCAATTATTTTAAAAAAAATTAACCACTTTTAACATCGGTCATACCATAACTGATCTTGAAACCTGGACTTTTAAAATCATTTGTTGCACTAAGCTCTCTGTTGATGTTAAGAGTTGTGGTTTAAAGGCCATAAAAGATTTAGAAGAAATAAGAGTATATTTTTTAGCTACCTCTTGAAATTATGTTGAAGAAATTTGACAGTTATTACATCAACAAGATCGTTTACAACATAATAGACAATTACATTCACCTTAGTTTAACAGTTATTTCAAAATGTTATCATATTATTTGAGAAAATGTGACAAAATGTAAAGCAATTATTATTAGTTATGAGAAGAAGTTACTAAACTAGTTCGAACAAGTAACTACTTATAATACGTAGGCAGTTGTTGTACAAATGCCAAAATCTTTAATATTGATTGATAGACTATAAAAATTATAAATAAGGAGACTTTGACAATTTATTTTTGTGTGATTACATCAAACATAATACTCAAAACATTTTTCATGCCGACACTAATGGCTCAAGGTTCCTTGATAAACCTGTACGTAATTCATTACTAAGAATGTAATGTTTAGTTCTCAAATGTCTTTTTTCTTTGATTCTTTCTACTTTCTATAACTCACCGGTGCAAAAATCAGATACAAAATTGAATTTTTATAATTGGTCAAATGGAAATTGATTTTAAAGGGTAACATCTCATTTTTCAAAAAATAAAAATAAATTAAATTATTTTAAGAATATTTATATTCACTACAACAAGTGTGCAAAATAGTGGAGGTTATTTTTACGTTTAGTGGAGGTTTTTACCCTCCACAAAATAAATTGCAGAGGTTTCAAAAAATCTTTGCAGTTACATTCGCCGCAAGGAATTAGCAGCGTTTTTTAGAAACCTCTGGTATTATAAGTATTTTAACGACAACTTTGTTAAGGAGGTTTTAAACCTACACTAATAGTGGAGGTTTTTTAAAGGAGGTTTCAAAGCTATACTAACTATAAAGGTTTTTAAAGGAGGTTTTAAAGCTACGCTAATTGTAGAGGTTTTTTTTAGTAGAAGCTTTGAAACATGCTAACACTAGAGGTTATTTAATGGAGGTTTTATAGTACATTAACTATAGAAGTCATTAATCAATATATTTTTGTGGGGTTTCTAATCCTCCAAGTTTTCCTGTGTATAATAGTTTTTATACTCATTTTAATCACATAATTTACATGTATTACAATTTCCCATTTTCACTTGTGATATTTATAAGAAACATAATAAAAAAAATACTCATAAAATGGATCAAGAAATTCCATTATTAATAACCAAAAACACAACATATAGTTCAAAGATTTATAATTCAAACTTCTATTATAAATCCAAGTACAACATAAAATCTATAACATTATCAAATTAGCCTCATACTAAACTTTAAATCCAAAATGCATTATATGCAAACTAAGGGTTGCTAGCACCAGATGATCCTCTTGCATCCAAAGGTGGATTAGGAACACTTGAAGCATCGTTTGGCTGAAATAAGAAAAAAAAAAAAACACTCAGTCAAGAAAAATATATATTACAAATATTATATGATAATGACAATTCCAAATACCCATGACTAGATTAGCCAGGGACCAAAAAGACCAATCGATTAATGTAACTAGCAACATAACCCATAGTTAAAAATAGAACAATAGACCGACAACTCCATTAAGCCAAAACCATAATAGTAACACCAAACCAGAGATGTCTAGTAGCCAACTAGTTCCTAACCCAATAGCCAAGGACTAAAAGCAGTCCATTCAGACTCTAAACAACCAAAACTAGGACTGAACCAACAAAACATCTAGCCAAACCAAAAATTGCAATAGAAATCATGTTGCAAACCATGCAGCCAAATATTATGAACCAACAAAGCAACCACCCAAACCAGAAATTGTAGTAGAAATCATGCTACAAACCATGCAGCCAAACACCATGAACCAACAAAATAACCATTCTAACCAAAAACTATAGCAGAATCATGATAAACCATGCAAGCAAAGAGTATGAACCAACAAAATAGCCACCAATACCAAAAATTGCAGCAGAATCATGCTATAGAACATGTAGATAAAGATACCACACATATTATATAATAATGTATGCACATTAATTACTTACATGTGTTTCAGGAGTGAAATAACTAGTTAATTCTTCAAGGATCCTTCCTTCCTTCATTAAAATGTAGGCCTTAAAAGTTGATTCTAAATTGTTGTATTTCTCTTGCCATTGGTTTGAAGATGGAAAGGCAACACCAGATGAAGAAGAGCTCAAGCTAGAAATACAAAGTCTTATATTCCTAAATGTATTAGAAGGAACAACACCCAATCCCATGTATCGTACTCTCTCAGAGTGCTCTGGTCCTAGCAATCTACCAACAACATCTAAAGGAGAAACTTCAGATTCATCAACTGTGCTTTGATTCAAACCTACTTCAATTTGTTCCTACAAACATGTAATAAAATCAAATATAAAAAAGTTTTAAGATTAAACACAATCCTTGAAATCAATGTTTCTAAAGAAAAATTTACCACTAGTCTTTGCTGCATCATTTACAAATGATCCATCTTTCCTTTTATGAGTTTCAATATATAATTGTCCACGACTTGGTACTTTCTCTATTTCTAGCAACTAAGATAAATAAAGAGGGAGTACATATTGAAAATTTTTTAAATAGTAGATTTAACATTTAGTGTCATTACCAACTCATTTCTTCTTCTAGGATTAACTTTGGAGCCACTAGTGTGTGGAATAACTTGCTTGCTTTGAATTTCTTTATTTCTCCTACAAAGTTCCTATAGGAAAAGAAATTAAAACTTTACAATTTCACATAGTAATCATATAATTAGCCAAAAAAAAACAAATTAATATTTAAAACAATCAAATTTGTACCAATGTTGATGGTTTTTGACGATAATGAACAAAACGAGCCTGTTGATCTTTATCTATGCCTATCGGCACAATTCTTATGATTTCATCTCTTGTTTTGGTTGGATCATTGAATTCATTACATAAGCTTTGCCTATTTGCAACCCATTTCCTTCCTATATTCATTTTGCAATATCGTTTTGCACTAGCTTCATTAATCCTAAAATAAAATTGAGGCTAAAAAAAGTAAAAATTTGTCAATATCATATCAAATTTAAACTTGCATAAGCAAAATAATAGAGATATATATGCAAAAAAGTAAGGATAGAAAAAATATAAGAAGTGTAGAAATAAAAAAAAATATATATGACTAATTATCATATCTTTAAAATTGTTTCAAAGCAATCATCAAAATAAGCTTTAGGTATGCATGAAGGTCCATACCACCTATCATAATCCATAGGAAATAACTTGCAATCAGCTGCCAATGTTCCAAGAAATCCTGCAAGCAAGGCTTGTGCTTCACCAATTGCTTGTCCTTGATCATCAAAATCCACACTGATGCGTAACTCCCTAGGTAAACTATTGACTCCCATAACTTTCACCTTAGTCTTCTTAATAGTTTCTTCAGAGTTTTTAACAATAAAATAACTTAATAATAAGAAAATTTGATATAGTTTATATTCTAATAATTATAAGTGAAAATACAATACTTATATACCTATTGCCTCAATAGTCCAACATTGTGTAGACTCACGCCCAACATGAAGTCTAGCAGTTTCATCTTATTATGGAACTTCAGAAGTTAATACATGAGAAAGTGGAACATTAATAGTTGGGACTTCAGGAGGTTGTGAGGAATCACTTGGTGTGGAATGAATTTCAGGATTCATTACTGGAACAAAATCTGTTGGAGCTTGTGTTATAGGTGCATCACATTGTGGTTGAGGTGCTGATTTTTGTGGATTTCTAAATTGGGTCAACATTGGCATGACTACATCAAGAGAAAAATAAATAGAGAACAATTAAAAACATTATATACTATCAAAATTAAAACAAGTTTAAAATAATCAATAAATGAAATAATCACAACATTTACAAGTCAAATTATTACCTTTAAAGAAGTGCAAAAGTAAATAAATATAGTCAAATAAGTGTGAATTTCTTGCTATTTTAGGAGTCAAACTTCAATCATCTATATTATCATTTAGATGGTTTGTAGCCAATCATACATATTGATCATCAAGCCTAGAAAATTGTTCAAGCTCTTGCTCTTGGCATGGCTCATTTTCATATGCATTTTCTTCTACTTCTTCTCCCATGTCATATAAATCTCTTGGCTTTATATGTACAACAACACTCGATCCTTTATTGACTACATCATCTACATGTACACGATTTGTGCTTGAGATTCTTCAATGTATGGTTCATGTTCTTCACAATTGCCAACATGAATCAATCTATCAAAGTTAACACAATTAAAATTTTGGCAGTCCTTTTTATACCCTCTATCTCGTGTAGTATCAACCCATTTACATTTGAAAAGGATAACATTGAATCGACCATAGTAGTTAATCTTAATGATATCTTCCAAATTCCCACAATATGGTAAGTCTGCTTGCCTTAAGTTGCCATCAACGCTACTTGAAACACATGATGTCTTAGATGTTAAAAAAACACCACTATTTTGTGTTTTTAATCCCTCTTCATGAGCCAAGGTTTGAAATTTGAACTCATTAATGTTATATGCAGTAAATCTTCTTGCATTATCCAAAGGTCTTTGTGCTAGAAACTTTAAATCAGTAGACATTTCACTCATTGTGTCTGGATTCATAATCTAGAAAAATTGGAAGTCAAAGTTTAAAAAACAAATATGGTAAAAAAAGATATCTAATGACTAAATGACTACTCACCCGCTTTCTAAACCAATCAACAAACTCTTTATTGATTTTCTTCTCTATCTCTATAGATAAAGGTCTTCTTCCTCTTGAACTCCTTTTTATGAATTGTCTAAATTTACTACATAAATAATTATTATAATCAATGCACATGTCTATTATATTTTAAGTAGACTAATAATAAAAGGTTTGTCTCATTTTACTCACTCTACAAATGGTGTGACTATTGTGAAATTAAGGAGCACATAACGATGAGCTTGCAATTTTTCATTGGAGTTAAAGTGAACATTGAGCAAGCTCCTACTGGTTTACCAATTTGTGGGAAGATAGAGGACATAAAAGAAGTCTCATTATCAATTGGATCATCACAAACACGTTTAGGTTTATTAAACCTTGTCTCAATATCTTCAGTGTACCGAGAACAAAAGGTAAGGGACTCTTCAGCTAAATACCCCTCAACTATGGATCCTTCAAGTTGTGCCTTGTTTCCCACAAAAGATTTTAAGTGACCTAATTCCCTAAATAAATAATTAACAATTAGATAGCATTAGTAAGATATTTGTAATTTAACATCATAAATTTAAGCTATTAAAATGTTTACCTCTCCAGTGGATACATATATCGATAATTCACTGGACCTCCAAGTTTTTCTTCCTCTATAAGATGAACAGTTAAATGAACCATAACTATGAAAAATGATGGAGGGAATAATTGTTAAGTCAGACGAAGACGAAAGCAATTCCCAGCAAGGTTTTGAATGAGACAAATATAATACACATTTTTATTACTAACAAGTGTGTTAGTGTTTCAGATATAAGTACAGGTAAACTGCTGAATATAGAATATACATCCATACCAGAATCAAGGAGATGTGAGGCAAGCATTGGATAAAGGCTGAGCAAACAAAGGGAATACATCAGATGAAGACTCAGAAGATACAAGACCCTGGACGATGGGCAAATCCTAGCAAGAGCACCCTAGACGGAGTCAAGTACTTACAACAGCCAACTAGACAGAGACTCGAATACACAGATGATGGTCAAGAAAGCTGTATTGTGTCCGAAGACACAACGAGACGAACTATCTAGCATCCATTCTTCCGGAAGAACACGTGAAGACATCAAAATAGAAGAAGGAAGATAAGAAAAATGGACGAGCGATTATCCACAAATCAAAATAGCGTGTGTTAGAGCAAGTACACCTACCAATCAGCAAAGGACAACGTCTCTGTCGCTACAATACCAAAAAAGTACAAAGGTATCTTAATACCAGTCATAGAAGCACACAAATGGTACAAAAGATCTCGAGAAGCGCAGATTCAACAAGCAAACATTAAATGCAAAGTCAGAAGCATTAAATGTCACCATCCATGAAGATTGTACAAACCAGATGAAAGAATCAGATGATAGGTAATCAAGCATAAAAACGAAGTCTGCTCACAGAAGAAAGAGGACTACCACCAGAATGAGACACTAAAATATCAGATGAAGCCTATGAGGAATAGTCAAGGCAAGACACGAACCAGACAAGTTGAGACATATGAAGCAAGTGATGTAGGAAACCGAGGGTCAAGAGAAGAATAATTGGAATACGTATATGCGCCAATTGATCATAAAATACTCAGACAAAAATATGTCTAGTACAACTATCCCAAAGCGCAAATCAGACGAGGCATATGACTAAGGTCAAAAGAAAGCCAACCTATGCATCAGACGAAAGACAACACAAACTGAGAGACACTCCAGATGGAAACAATGTTTGTCTATTCACATTATTAATCATACCAAAGAAAAGTCAAAAACTCAAACACTGAAGTAAAAGTCAAAGATTGAAATACACATGACCAACAGATGAAGATGAAGACTAGCATGCAAGCAAATAAAGAATCACGTCTCAAGAAACAAGCCAAGACATCGTCTATGACCACACAAAAGCTTTCAACGTAAAACGCGTGATCTAAGTGAATAAACAAAGAAGAAGAGAAGCACGCAAAAGCAAAGCATGCATGTGTCAGAAAAAGTGCATTACTTTTTCAGAAAAGGACAACGCCTATATTGCTGCATGACCAGAAAAAGACAAATAATTTCTTGGTCTCAGATAAAGTCAAACACTACTGTAATAGATAAAGAAGAATACACGCAATGTCTAAGAACAGGAAGCAACATTTAATGCAAGACCAAATGCATTAAATGAAAGGATCAAACTAGTCATGAACGACTATATTAGCTTCAACGGACATATGCAACGGGAAGCTTCGCGTCAACGGACATATTCAAAATCAAGCAACGGGAAGATTCTACAAGAATGTATATATATCACTACCTCAAAGCTTAAAAGGTTGGATTTTTGATTGGAAGAAAAAGAGTGATATCAAGCCCACGAGACAGAGACTAGAGATGAGCATACATAGTCATATGTACAATGTAATATTGTATTTTAATCTCTATAGACTAAGGTGTTCAAAATGTCAGTGATGGACTAAACCTTAGTGAGTGTTGTAAACTTGTGTATCCTCTCCATGAGAGTAACCCAAACACTCAAACACTAGTCTCTGTAAAACTAAGGTAGCAAACCTTAGTGAGTGTAGGAAATTTCCAATCCTCTCTGTGAGAGTTATGTATGCACTCAACCAAAACTGTCTAGCCAACATTGTAAAGCCTGAAGAGGCTAGGAAAAGAATACTTGTAAAGCCTAGAGGGGCTTGTCAAAGAATACTCACTAGTAGCCAAAAGTGGCTGAGAAGAATATACTAGCGTTGGTAAGTGAAGCTGACGGGCTAGGAGTGGTCAAGAATACTTGGAGAACCAAAAGTAGTTTAAGAACACTAACATTGGTGAGTGAAGCCAATAGGCCAGAAGTGGTCGAGAATACTTGGAGAACCAGAATTGGTTTAAGAATACTAGCGTTGGTGAGTGAAGCTGATAGGCCAGAAGTGGTCGAGAATACTCAAGGCCAGGAGTGGTCGAGAATACTCAAGGCCAGGAGTGGTCGAGAATACTTGGAGAACCAGAAGTGGTTTAAGAATATTAGCATTGGTGAGTGAAGCTGACAGGCTAGGAGTGGTCGAGAATACTCAAGGCCAGGAGTAGTCGAGAATACTCAGGTACAGGAGTGGATGATAATACTCAATGTTCTTCATTTCATATCTAGTGGAACCCTACAAGTTGCAGGAGACTAGATGTAGCTTTGTTGAGCGAACTAGTATAAAATGATTGCAACCTTTTATTTACTTAGATGCAAATCTTCCTTACTAATTAAACATTTGTGAAAGACTTCATCCAGTGTTCATATATCTTTAAAACAACTTTTAGACGAAGACGCTAACTTTGCTTGACAAACTTATTACACTAAAAGTTTCATCTGCTACTTATCCTTAAACGAAACTATCTTGAAAAGGAAAATGTAAGAACTTCAATTAATATTTTTACGAGACATTTTCCCTAGTGGACGATAAACCCTTCAGACGCATTGATCGTATGTTAAGCAAACTCTGCACAACCGTCTGATATTCAAAAGTGCAGTGAGCGAAGAGCACTACTCTTGCAAAAATGTTTTAAAATACCTTTGTTCACACACACACATATTCAACCCCCCCTTCTATGTGTTTTTCCGCTAACCTCAATAACATTTTTAAGTGGCATAGTGTAACCACAATGCGATCTTGGAGCAATTGAAGTTCTGGAAGATTTAAGCCTTTA